AGGGAGAGAGAGAGAGGGAGAGAGAATTATGCAATGTTGCAAAAAAGACGTGTTCAATGTGTAAAGGTTTTAAGTAGGGTGAACCAAATTAAATGTTATTCATGTGGTCATATATCAAAAACGACGTATTTGCCTCAAGGGGCTTTACAGTGTGTTCAGCATACTACACCCTCTCTCCTCAGACCCTCACATTAACGAGGAAAAACTCCCAAAGAAACCCCACAATTAACAGGAGAAAATGGAGGAAAGCTCAGTGAGTGCAACAGAGGACAGACAGAAGTGCACTAGATGATGTATGTACAGAGTCAACAACATAGAAAATGCAAATGAGCAAAAGGATAATGAGACAGTTCAGTGAGCACACGTTTAGTCTCCACAGTTACCTGTTGCAAACTTCTTCCCGCAGCCAGGATAGTCACAGATGTACGGTTTGTCTCCAGTGTGTGATCGTTCATGTACCTGCAGGACAAAGAAACACAACTGTGTAGCAGGAGGGCTGAGAAACAACAATCGCACACACAACCACAGAACACACGCTCACCTTGAGATGGTGGGCGGTGGTGTAGAGCTTCCCACAGCCGTCGTACTCGCAGCGGAAAGATTTCTCTCCTACGTGTGTGGCTCGGGCTGACCTGTTGTCTTGACCCTGTATTACAATCTGAACAAACATGTGTTAGACTGCGCTGGTTAACCTGGAAAGGTAATATTTAGAAAAGTTAAGTAAAAGAAACTCTTACCCGCATGTGGACGCCATTGTCTGCTTCCACTCTGCCGTATGACCCCAGAGGGTTTTCTATATTCTCCACCTGACAGGAGGAGAAAAGAGCACTTCCTGTTACAATATATTCTTAATTATGAACATTCACAGCCAGTGTGTTGTACAAATCTGCAAAAATGTTACACCAAGAAAATACATAGTACTAAACATTGTGAAAACATGTCAGGTTCCCCAGAGCAGCACCCTGAGGATCACCTTGGTGGTGTACTGTTCCAGCACGCTGATGGTCTCGGGGTCGATGGAGGTGGCCTCGCCCTGCAGGTCAGCGATGGTGCCGTCGGCCTGGATGGCCAGGATGGTGTTGGACTGCGGCATGTGCATGGTGTGCTGGATGTAGGCGGTGCTGCCGTCCTCCAGCTGCACCTCCTGCAGGCCGCTCTGCTCGTATGCATCTGCACAGAAACAAGAGGAGGGGTGTTCATATTGTAGAGAGAGGAACTGAGCTACAGTAGGAAAACTGAGGTTGAATAGTCCAAAAAATCTGCTCCTGTCGTCTACTCCTTGACCTCTGTGTGAAACGTCACAGGGTTAAAGGTAGGGTGGGTAAGAATGGAGAAACCAGCTCGAGTGCGATAGAATTTGAAAATACACAACGGGAAAAAATCTGCCCCTTCCTTCAGACTTCCTTACAGAGGCCCTCCTCCAACACACACGAACGCGCACATGACCAATGAGGGCACGAGATAAGTTTGTGCACAGATGGAAGGCTGACAGGCAGGTAGGCCATCCAGTTATTTTAGCAGGGCCGGCTCAGATGATTGGTCGTGCTTTTTACAGTACTACGGCTTCCACAGATGACATATTTGTATGTATTTATTGTCAAAGCATTTCATGTATTCATTGCTGTCGGGATGTTAAGAGCATTCCATGGAATATAACAAAAAGTGTTTCTGAAGTGAATTACCTACCCCACCTTTAAGGAATAGTGGCTATGAGAATTCAAAAGGATTTAGAAGCTGCTAAGTGCTTTGAGAATCCGACTGCACTTTCACTATCCGACGTGTTTATGATGCGCCAGCGGACGTCATGAATGTGCGTCTGCTGCTGTGGGGAAACTATGGAAACTACAGTTCTCTATACAGCGGACTACAACATGGATGTATAATAAGAACGACGGACTACTGTAAACTCATCTAGAGACTCTGCACCGTGCTCTGATGCTGTTGTTTTATTCTTTATGAACGCGGACAACAGAGAAACATATTCTAAATTGAATTCGATTTTCCTAAAGTTGACTCCTTTACATGAATGTGTAAACAAATTACTGAAATGAGACACGTTGATGTTGCCTAAGGAACAGAGATGAAATAAACGTAATGTTCTTACCTTTGGGTGTGTGAATGTAGGCTGTTGTTCCGTCTTCTAGCTGAACTGCTTGTCCGTCTTCAAGCTGTAAACTATCCCCTCCTACAACAGGAAACAACATGAAGTGAGACACAACGACTTCATCAGCACTAACCACTGCTTTGCTTTACTTTCTCCAAATGTGTTCTACAAGATGGCATTAAATCATCCTTTTTAAATACAAATAAACAATGTCTTCTTACCTCCTTTAGGCATGGACACGTGCTGAACGTAGGCTGCGGAGCCGTCCTCCAGCTGGATCACCTGGCCGTCCATGATCTGTCCGTCCGAAAACGAAGACTTGGAGTCGTGCTGGATGTACGCAGTCGATCCATCTGCCAGAGTGATGGCCTGCAGACTCACCGTGTCCATGCTCTCTATCTGATCGCCATCTGGGGAAGATGTTTTAATTATCTTTAGTGAGAAGATCATAATGTTATGGCTTTAAATGCAATTTGAACTACATCATAACTTTTCAAAATAGACGATAAAGATCTAACACTGGTAAACTCACTCTTTTGTGAGAAAATAATCATAATCATCGAATAAAAAGGGGCAATAAAATGTCCAGTAGCTACTTTTCTTGTGTATGTATTTCTCACGCATTATATTATGTATAGGAATCACTCAATATAAATATATAGTATTCCAGACCTTCTTTTTGAGGTGTGACACTTGTATTTTTCTATACAGAATCAATACTCATTTGTCTTATTTAGTCAAGAGCTGTAAATTAAAAACATCACATTTAATAAAGTCCTTTTGAAATAAAAATAAATATGCCAGTTGTCCACTTCAAGTCTTATTTTATAACAATATATTGACAAGTTGATGTTCAGGATCTCACCTCCCACAGTCACGGCCTCCGTCAGACAGAGGGTGACCGGCTGCCCGTCGGCATCGTGAAACTCTGCCATTCCCGGCGAGTCCCGGTTTATCTGGGCTAAGAGCATGCTTCACCTGCTGGAGAGGAGACACAAGCATGGGACACTTTACAAACTTAAACTGGAGTCCTCAGGTCCAGTTAACACACAGAGACATCAAGATGTGACAACCAGTGGTGTGTTGATGCACATGTGCAATGCCCATTCATAAGAACATTTCATATAATAATTGCCATCAACCATGAGAATACAAACTCTGTACAGCGAGAATCCTGCAGCTATGTTAGCTTCAAATAAGACAAACAAATTAAAGTACTGGTGCATTATTCAAATATCCATCCATCCATCCATCCATCTTCTCCCGCTTATCCGTGGTTGGGTCGCGGAGGTAGCAGCTCCAGCAAAGAGCCCCAAACGTTCCTTTCCCTGGCCACATCAACCAGCTCTGACTGGGGGATCCCAAGGCGCTCCCAGGCCAGCGAAGAGATATAACCCCTCCACCTGGTCCTAGGTCTACCCCTTGGTCTCCTTCCAGCTGGACGTGCCTGGAACACCTCCCTATGAGGCGCCCAGGTGGCATCCTTACTAGGTGCCCGAACCACCTCAACTGGCTCCTTTTGACGCGAAGGAGGAGCGGTTCAACTCCGAGTCCCTCCCGGATGACTGAACGTCTCACCTTATCCCTAAGGGAGACGCCAGCCACCCTGCAGAGAAAACCCACCCGCTTGTATCCGTATTATTCAAATATGCAAAATATAAAGCCAAATCTGAAATACTGAAGGTCTTAACTAGATTTTAACCATAGTAACCACTTATTATAAAAGCCTCATATTGACATAATAAAGCATTACTCAACTAAAGGCCCTTATCGTGTTGTGTTGATCGTGCATATTCCTATATAACGTTTATATAAAATTCTCACAAATATTCCATTAAAATACAATAAAGCAAGTTCTTCTTTTCCTTAGCATATCATCTTGAAATTTGATTTGAAAAGCAACCAGACCATCATGCCAAGTCAATACATACATTCATTGGTTTTGCTTTTTATGTGTCCCTTATAATGTCTTCTGTAAGGTTATGTAATGATATGCCTTCCTATTTTTACTGTATAGGCCAAACATCTCATTAAAAGCGTTTTGTATTAATTATTTGCTGACCTGTAGTGCCTTCATCCTTTACGCCAGGGGTGTCAAACTCAAATACAGTAGGCCAACATTTAAAAATGGGTACTAGTCGAGGGCCGGACTGGTTCAATGTTTATAGCAAAACGTATTGAAATGAACTTATTGCACATATTCAACCTGGAACTAACAAAGCTTAAATTATTGCCTATAAAAACCACTCTTATGATTACATTTTTCCACAGGCCAACAACAGCTTCAAAAAAACTATTCCCCTCAAAGAACAAACCAAACATGCCCTGTTGTCTCAAGAAAGAAAGTGCAGAAGGAAACATCCATGTAAACTCAGTGTGCTGCTCTGTGATGCTAGTTCAAGCCAGATACTTGGCATCTCATCTTGGGTGCAAGTTCATCAATGTTTGGGGTCAGGCTCTGAGCTGAGGAAACCCTCAGGATTGAGTGAAGGTGTGCGTGCAATATACCGGAGGGCCTGATTTGGCCCCCGGGCCTTGAGTTTGACACATGTGCTCTAATCTTTCTAACTATTTAGTTTTTCTTTCACTTTCATTTAGACATTATGTTGTTTGTTGACTCATTTATCAACTGGCTATGGTAAAACAGTTCAACGTTAAAATAATAACACTTTTACATGTACAGTAATGTTGATTTCGTCAATAGATAAATATACTTTTTTACTATTAACTTATGATAATTGTCATGAGGGATTATTCTGGTGATTATTTTCTCTATTTACCAATGTATTGTTTGGTTTGTAATGACACCTTCCCAATGTTTTGTTTTGTCCAACCTCATGATCAATTTATATATGTTTAAATAAAATGATCAAAAGTTATATCAGCAAATAGTTTCTCCATTGTCAAACCTTTCATATTTATATATATATATTAATGTTTATCTTCATTTGAAAAGTATCTAGGCTACATATATATTATCAATGAGTCCTTTAAGATGGATTGTATTGAAGTTGTACAAATTGAAATACTCAAGATAAGTACTTAATGTAGTGTATATGCACTTTATATTCTACCACTGCTTATTCCTTCTCGTCTGATTGCTTTAATATGATTATTAATAAACACATGACTGTGCACTGCAGTCATTATAGTTTGGCGCTAGTTATTTTGAATATAGCATTTAGGGGGGGCGAGCAAGCTAAGATGTTAGCACAACTATGACTTGCCACATTTGTCACCCGTATAAAATACTATCCAACACGTGTAGTAAACCGTTTTCCTGTAAATGTTGAAACACTGACAGCCTCTTTTATATCACAGCAGAAACTACATGTCACAACGAAGTAGGGTGGTTATTAGCCACCATGCTAACAACAATGCTAACTACGCCAACGGACCCGGTGCTGCTGTCACGACTTTATTTAAGCGGTTAACTAGCAAACTAATGGTGCATATTGTGACTTCAATGAGAGTATGTATATATATATTTAAAGTTGATATAAGTCTCAGCTGGCTCTGTGGCAGCTGGAGGTGCTAGCTAGCTGTCTGCACGAAGCTCCCAGCCTCACATATAAGTAGGAAACAACACGGAGCTAATTAACGATAACATAAGCATTTTGACTCGCTGGATGTCATTTTTAAATCATCTTAAAACTGCGTTTCCCATCCGTGTTATGACTCCCATTCACAGCCCGTCTCTCCCTCTGCCTCTCGGAGATGGCTGTGGGAATAATGCACACTGGGTAAAAAACCAATTTATATACTAACCTCCGAAATATTTCCAACAATTCCTCCTGTTCGACCACCATGCACCAGTGCAGGAAACGCTCCACCACGCGCCGGGAACATGTATGACACAAACCGCCCAGGAAGTGCACCGGACAATAAAGCAAATTCTCGTAGTGGTCAAATGGAGGTACTACAGCTTCATTGGGGCAACAAATACATTTTCCTATTGACTTACATTGGGTAAGATACGTCTGTAAATCAGCGGGTATTTTTTTTTTAACTGAATCAACTACCCAGTACTAACACTTGTGTAGCCCATATTTAAATCATTAGGGTCGTAATGTTGTAAAATGCGCTTCAAAGCTGACTCAGAGTTATTTTCTCTAGCCATTCATTTGACTGAGCAGATAGCAGGAGATCGGAGGCAGGGCCTAAGGAAAACTCAACTGCGCATGCTCTATGGGCCCACATCCGGGTAATTTTGCTCTCGAGAGTCAGGTCATTTTTGGCTTCATGCGTCGCCGAGTAACTACCATAGGAATGAACGGGGTCCCGCCTCCAATGCAGTATCCAGTTCAATTGACAGCAAACGCTGCACACGAAGCACCCGCCTACTTTCCACCAATCCAGACACGCTGATTGGTTGGCAAGACCCTAGCTCCCATTCTGATTGGTCAATTCGAGGTTCTGTGTTGCTGCTATTCATCTTCCCGGGCCCCTTGCGGACGCCATTCCGCGTCGATTTTCGTATTGTTGACTGAAAATGCGCTGTGTCGTTGTTAGAAAAATTAATATTTAAGCTTCAATTAAAGACGATAGCAAACGGACACTGTGGATTGCAAACCGCAGTGCGCTGAGGAAGATGAATGGGTTTGTTTGGCTGCAACATAAACAGCAATGTGTGGGGAGGTTTTTCGGCATCCATGTTGAAAACAAGGTCGTGTGGGTAAAAAAAGAAGGGGAATGTGGGCAATGCAGTGAAGAAGAGAGGAGATGTGCAGCTGTATCTGACAGAACAAACTACACACAGCATCACATCTGAAATACAAACCAAGAGCAGCGTGCAAAACTGGATTGCAGCTCTTAAATACATTCTAAACCTAAATAGGTCGATGGGTTATAATGTGAGAACAACACAAGATAGACAAATACGAAATATATAATGCATGCATTACAACATTTGCATCAGATAAACACAGAAAACCCATAAAAGAAACCTAATCTACAGGATTTCAAGTAAATGAAAGCAACGCCTTATACTCTTAATATGAAGTGCAATTTCAAAAATGTACACATATATCAGGAGAACGTGTTTGACTCTTATTACAATTCATTTTGATTATGTTATTATATATATATCAAAATAAAACATATACAATCAGATAAGAACCTTATCTTCGAACTATTTTATACATATTTATGAGTTGTTGAAGACTGATAATAGTCTGAAAAGTATCTAAACAAAGCTTTGAAATGATTAGAATGGAGTAAACAATACTGCTTCTGAATTTGAGTTTGTAATAGCCTAAAAAAAAGCTTCCCGAAAGTCTCAGACACCCATTATTTACGTAATCAATTAGGAAATTAATTAAGAAATCAGATGCTATTCATTTGGATTTAATTGAGCAACGTTCACACTTTCCCCAAAAGCCTACAATATTTCTATTATATTTTAGGGATATTTATTTTTACTATGTTTATTTAACTGCGTAGCTTTAATAAAGGACAATTAAAACAACTCATCTAAAAGTAGAAACATGTGAGTAATGAGTAGGAAATAACATTTCTACTTTCCCCCTTATCTATATAAGATAAAGTTATTGCTTCAATTTCTCAGGATGGGTAAGGGAAATCAGTCTGTTATAATAAAATATTCTGCTTTGATTTGTTGATGCAAAGAGTTTATTTTTCTCCCATCTTTGGGAAAGTATCATTTAAATTATATAATGTACATGAGCTACCACCAACAGTGTTATGTAACACGGTAAGGTTCCCAAGACATCACGGAGTCACGATTTAATAAAGGGACGTTTTTGTTCCAGACTGAAATCAATGAGACACTAAAACAGACCGGATGTATCTTCAAAATAAAAGCCCTCATTCCATGCTTTCTTTTTAACATTTAGCATAAAACAGAGCAAAGCAATGAAAGACACAGACAAAGTATTTAGTAACTAATAAAGTATATCCGGGAACGTTGTAAATATCAATGTAAATAAATCAAAAATAAAGTAAATAAATCAAAAATATTTATAAAAGCATCGCAATCAAGAATGAAAAAGCAGATAGTGGTCCTTTGTTCAAGCCTACTTCTCAAAACCTTTAGGTAGATAAACATCAGACAGCGTTTTATTTCATGTTGATGAAATGTCAAATGAATTTAATAAATAATTCTATAACAAATCCCCTCTGGCTGGCAGAGAACTCTCTGCTGCTCCATAGCTTCTCTTGGACTTAAATCACACTGTACATTTTACATTTATACATTCAGTTGAATATTTAATATTCCATCCCTCACATACTTATGTATATATAATAACTTACTTTATATTTTGTTATTGTTAATTTGTAAACTCAACATGTATATTTTCTACTTTCTTGTTTATTTCTAGTCTTTTTCATTGTTATTGTACAATGCCATGTCTTTTATGCTGCTGCAACACAACCATTTCCCAAATTCGGATCAATAAAATACTATCTTATCTTATCTTTTATCTTAATAGTACGGATTTTAATTTAATTTTGAATACGTAGACCGGAAGTCGCATTATTACCTGTCTGACTTGACTACCTGCACTGCTCGTGATGGGGGTCTTTCCTCTCCATTAACTCATCATCGGGGATTCCTGTTTATAGACTCGGCTCACACACACACACACACACACACAGTCTGACCCACACACACACACACACAGTCTGACCCACACACCCACACACACAGCGGCTCGGCCTGCCTCTGGTGCCCGGGTCATGTTCACCGGGATGCGGGTGGAGAGCAGGGGGGTCTCCGGGGGTCTGGATGCTGCGGCGGTGAGGCAGCAGAGGAGGCTGAAGCAGGCGATCCAGTTCCTGCACCGAGACTCTGCTGACCTGCTGCCGCTGGACGGGCTGAAGAAGCTGGGGACATCCACACAGGGGGTGAGCCTCTTGTGAATTATGTTTTATTTTAATGTAAGGTCATACTAAATAAGCCTTTGGTGTAAACATGGGCACTGTGATGATGAATCACTATCGGAATCACTAGGTATTTCCCAGGGGGGGGATTCGGTTTCGTGACAGTTACTCCATTTACAAATAAAATACAATAAAATGAATTGAAAGGTAAAATAAAACACAATGAAATCAAAGGTAAAATGTAAAAATATTCATATTAAAACAATTAAACGTTTAAAAATGAATAAATTAAAAAACTACACTAATTAAATTAAAAATCAAATAAATGTTAAATTCAAGTATAATGAGATGAAATAAAATACAACTATTGCTGTTATATATAACTGTTTTTATATATTACTTGGCTGCAGATTTTGTTATATTATATTACCATGCCTACATGTCACCCTGTACATCTTATATCATACATTCTTTATTGTTTTCTAACACGATATAATACACTACATTCACATGTTACTACATACTTATGCTGATGATCAATGCTTAATCATATAAAATATAATTTATCTAATATACACCCTGTTTACATATCAGATTATCTTTGAATATGATATGGTGTAATGATGATGAGAGAAGTAAGTAATATTTTAGACTTTATAATATTTTTAACATGTTGTCTTTGTTATTGTAGCAGCCACATCATATTCTCCAGAAGCGCCTGCTGGAGTCCAAGTTATCCCGGGGCAGAATGAACAACGAAGGGATCAGTCTGAGCTGCACTCACATCAACTCACACGAGGATGAAGAGGAAGAGGAGGACGATTTCGTCTATGTGCCCTGCAAGGTGACTAAATATGTATATATTAGAGATATGTAGATTAGTTCAAGAGTTCATTCCATTGCAATTGCTTGATAAGAATTGGAATTAGCAACGTGAAATATAAGTTTAGGGACAACCCCACAACAACAAAAAAGAGAGCAAAGGAGATAGATATCGGTTTACTTTACAATAATACTCATGGCAGCGTTAAAACAAATCACAAGCAATTGAATGAGGTTAAACCATTTATCAGCACCCAAAAAGGAGAGATTAATAATGAAAAGAATGACATACAAGGTGAGAAACAGAGAAGAGGAATTGAAAAGAAACTTTAAAAGACCCTCTCCCAAACCCACGTGCACTTACTTATTTGTTTATTTATTTAGTAAAAAAGTTAGAGAAAGTTTGGATGTGGCGGGGTAAATGAATCAAGAGAAAAAACGGATAAGTTGTTAGATAGATACTTGCAATGAAGTGTTGAACTGCTATACATCTTTTGCACAATTTATGTTTTTGCTTTTCGGTTGCTGAATATTTAATTGTCTATTTTTTATTGTTTAAAGTGTTTAGGACAGGAGGTAAAAGTGCTGATCGACACCGGCTGCAAACTGAACCTGATGTCCTCACGAACTGTGGAGAGATTATGGTGAGATCTTCATTATGTGCATACATGACAAACATTAGACCCTTCAGTATTATTCAGTCAGTAATCTTTTCCTCCTCTCAAAGTCTGAAAGATCTGGTTGAAGAGAACAAAATGGAGGTGGACGGGTTTCCGTTTCAGAGGAAGCTCTGTGTCGACGGACACATCCGAGAACTCAGCCTGACCCTTGGGAAACTCAGAGTCATGTGTCCGTTTTTCATCCTAGGTAAGGAAGGAGAATAAGACTAAAGATTATAGATTACAGTATTTTTTGTATCTGTAACCAGTGCTTTAAATGCATTTTTCACAATGTATTTTGCAGAGAGTAACAGACCACTGATGTCCCTGGGAAACAAGACGTTAAAATCACTAAAGGTAAATCATTTAAGACAGGGGTGTCAAACTCAAATACACAGTGGGCCAAAATAAAAAAATGGGTACTAGTCGAGGGCCGGACTGGTTCAATGTTTATTGCAATACGTATTGAAATGAACTTATTGCACATATTAAACCTGGAACTAACAAAGCTTAAATGATTGCCTATAAAAACAACATTAAACATTAAATAATCAGTTGCATTCATTTCTTATGGCTCTATCTGCAGCTTTTCCAGAGTCATTTCTTATGATTACATTTTCCCACAGGCCAACAACAGCTTCAACAAAACTATTTCCCTCAAAGAGAAAACCAAACATGCCCTGTTGTCTCAAGAAAGAAAGTGCAGAAGGAAACATCCATGTAAACTCAGTGTGCTGCTCTGTGATGCTAGTTCAAGCCAGATACTTGGCATCTCATCTTGGGTGCAAGTTCATCAATGTTTGGAGTCAGGCTCTGAGCTGAGGAGACCCTCAGGATGGAGTGAAGGTGTGCGTGCAATATACCGGCGGGCCAGATCTAATAGTAATTAAAAATTATCCTGCGGGCCGTAATTAAATCCACCAAGGGCCTGATTTGGCCCCCGGGCCTTAAGTTTGACACATGTGATTTAAGATCATCAGCAACACAGGGATGTTAAGATACATGGCTAAGAGTTTGTACACACAACTTCTTTGCTACTAAATTACATTTAAATGTATTTTTATTTGATAGGCAAAATGCAATTTAACCTTTTGTCCCTTGATGCTGAAGAACAATTCTAGGCTCTATACTTGAGAAAATAAACTGCATAGATCCCAGACTATTTGGCTCCTTATTATTTATACATATCTTATTTGATTATGTATTACTTTTTAAAAGCAGCTGCACATTAAACATGCTACCAAACAGCTTGTAGTTGACTTTGTGTATGCATATCTGCTTCCTGTCTTTAATTTTGCACAAAATCAAATTGCTTTTGTGATTGATGAATGATTTGTTGTTAAATTGTTGTATTTCCTCAGTGTGTAATTGACACTGAAAAGCAGATGTTGGTGTTTGGGACGATGGTGAGGGAGCAACTTCATTTTGCAAAAAAGCCATTCAATGAAAGGTAAGATTGTATTACCTTTAACAGAGTGTTGGCTAAGGATACATATATCCTCCTTTATAGATTGTGAATTATACTTCATATACACACAGCAGAATTGTTGAAAAGAAACAAAACTTGCAACTTATATTATTTTAAATAAAGTACCTATTGAAATGTTTGTTAAAAAGATACCACATTTTTTTATACAATGTGTGACATGCATTTTGCTTCTTCTTCTCTTTTGGCACAACAGTTCTCCTGATTTCAGAGACCTCTGACAACAACAACAACAACAACTAAACATACCTACCAAAAGCAATACAACAATATACTGTTAAAACTAGATGCCTAATTAGGTAACTCTCATCAACTTCTCACCCTATTCATTCTCACTTTCTCTCTTTGTTTACTGCCTTTACAGTCAGATAATCCACCCTCACTTTACTTATTTTTACACGACGGCAGCGGTTTATTATATAACTACATGGTTTTTAGCTGACGCTTTTATCCAAAGTGACGTACATACACTCAATACAATAGACTACATGCCTGCAGTAGCAATTTGGGGTAAAATCTCTTGCTCAAGGACACTTTGGCTGTGGGATCGAACTTCTGTCTGCAGATCAGCGCACTAACCCCTACGAACGGTTCCTTACAAAGCACTAAAACAGCATTATAGTAGCCTATATGATGTGTAGCTGTTGTCTACAGTAGAATGTATAGAAATACATTATAAACAGAACGTGTAGTGCTGTAGACTTTATTATTCTGATAGAATGTGATTTATAGCTCGTTACTTATAAATAAGTATTGTCATGACAGAAATACAGACGTGTTCTGCGTGTACAGCTGGAAATAAGTCTTGGAGAACAGAGGAGGATTTGTATTTCTTGTGAAGTGTAGCTGATAAACCCAACACAATCTATTGCAATTGTTTATTATATATTTTATAATGTTGTAATGTATTTTCTAGTCAAAAATCATGTATTTGCAATGAGGTCACTGCCTTTTAATGTTTACAAAAATACTGTAGCAATGAATATCAAATAAAATCCCAAATTATGTGAACGTTTTTGTGTTTCTGCATAATTTAAAGGGAAGTTTAGCACTTTTGGAACATTTTAGATAACTGCTTACAATAATCTGTCAGTGTACAAGTTAAACCTTACCTTACCGGAGTACTTTTCCCAGTATAGTTACGATATAGTTCCGAAAATTTGCGTTCACACCAAAAAAATCCGGAACTAGAATTTAGTTCATGAGCACCTTTTCACCCCCTTTTCAGTCCCTGCTAGAGAGCAGGTACTTTCGTGGGAGAAAAAGGTTCCCATTTCTGATTAGCTGGGCGAATTGCAAACTCCCAAAAAGTTTTGTGAAGCCACCATTTTATTTTCCTCGCATTAGCATTATTAGCATTAGCCCAGCGCAGAAACGGAGAGAGACTAACTTATGGCAACACAAAAGAAAACACGGGAGCGGTGGAGAGGAGGTGTCGGCGTTCTGGCGATTTACTCGGAAGTAGAAGCCAGTCCCCAACTCCGGGGACTTCCGGCCGGGGACTTCAGGTGTATACGCCGTGAAGTTGTTTGCGGCCTGCCAGTAAACCCAAAGCAGAATAAGTGATTTGCCTAATCCTCCCTCAGGGACTTATTCCGGTGTGAACGCGATCTGCTCTTTAGTTCATTACATTACATGTCACTTTGTTAGACGCTTTTATCCAAGGCGACTTACATACTCAACACTGTGGACAATCCCCACAGGAGCAATTTGGGGTAAAGTGTCTTGACCAGGGACACAACGACATGCTGACTGTAGTGGGGTTTGAACCTGTGACCCCCTGATCCGAACACCAACACACAACCCACTGCACCACACGCCTCCGAGAACTAAGTTCTGATTAACTAAGTTCTGATTAACTAAGTACGGCAAAGTACTTGGTGTGAAAGCGCCTAATGTAGCTGTATATAAAGATAACAAACAAGAAATCGGTTAAAAAAATACTTTATTTGTTTACACTGATGTGGAATAAGTGCAAGTAAAAATATGGAAAGAGCTTTACATGATGTTTAAAAGTAGAATATGGAAACACAAACAACATAATAAAATACTCAATAGCAATACAAATATGGCTTCTCCGTGTGCAGCAAATACAACATTTTGTAGACTTCATGCAATATAAAATGTAAACTCTTAATGCAGTGTAAAAGCAAGCAATAAACACACACACACACAAACAGAATGAGCATTGGTCAGTTTTAGTATTGGAGGTTAAAGGAGAGGGGTCAGAGGTTAAAGGTGAGGTCGACGCTCTCTCCGGCTCGGACACTGATCATCTGAGTCTGCTGCTGTGACTCCGGCATGGAGGCAGTGACAGCGTACGTCCCCGGGGAAACCTCGATGAAGAAATCTTCACCAACTGCAGAGACACGACCCTGAACAAAACAAGACTTTGAATTTTAAAAGAGGCCCTGTAATCGCTTTTTTTCCTGTAGTGTATTATATAGGTTTTTGAGTATGTAATACACATGAAAGCATGGAGACATGTCACAGTAGAGGCAAAAAATACAACTATTAACCTGTAAATTAGCGAGGGAAGTTCAAACTGCTTACACTGACCTGGTTAAGAACATTGAACATTAACAAACTAAGGATCCCAACATTTCTCTCTCTCCAAACTAAGTCTAAAATACCGACAAGTCAGCTATGGGAAACTGTTTGCCAAGACATTAGCCGTAGTAACTGTTACATTGACAAGGTTTTATTCCTTTGAGTCTTCGTTATAACCAAAGAAATATCTTTTGACAGATAAAAGCTTTATATGACTAAAGAGAAACAACATCACATTCTTGTTACCTGGTTCTGTGGTGCCCTTTCATGTTTTCTAGCCGACCGTGCAGGTGTTTTAATCCCAGCAGCTGGCCGTGAGTGAAACCTGCACACATGGCTCCTCTCAGTGTCAGAGGGCTCAGTGCAGGAGCCAGACTCATAAAACCTCTGCAGCACAGAAAATATTCACATTTCACTCCCTGTGCTTGTGGCTGAAAGCATATAAATCCAGTCTAAACAATCCCTGACCTTGCACTGATGTGTCGTCTGGGCCATGAAGTCTGCGATGGTTGCAAAGACATCATCAAGCTCTGAGCGTGGTCTCTGGAGAAGAGCATGAGAATTAAGGCACAACACGTGAAGTCAAGCTCATTAATGTAATTGATAGTGGGGTTAGTATAAAACAGGCACCTTGATAGGGATCTGTGTGTCTTCCTCTGTGGTGGTGGGGGTCTGGGAAGCTTCCACGCTGCTCCAGTCGACGCTTCTCCTGGAGGCTCGCTGCAGAACCTCCAGACCCAGACTGGCAGAGCGCCGCAAGGACGACTCCAGCCAGGTGTGGCTTTCCATGAACAGATCGAGTTCACTAAAGGTGCCCCTCACCTGAGAGGAGGAACAAGCAGACCTCTTTCCTTACAGTACACACATTAAGAAGAGGGTTTTTATTACAGATATTCTTGTCTTTTGTACTAATTTAATATAGAACTGTAGGGATTACTTACGTGATTAACAAATACAAATCTGTAACAGTTTTGATAATCCACCATTTCTTAATCAAACATGAAAAAACGTATTTACCTCTTTTAATTAGTATGCTTTGATATCAAGCTGAATATTTCCCAGATACAACAAGCATAGTGAAGGCATCCCCTGCCCTCAGGCTCTTACACATGAGATTCATATTTTCCCTATGGACATTTTACAGACAATCATCATTATTTTTTAAACTAAACAGTGACTGGTAGATTAAATGATAACAAAAATGGTTGCTACCCAAATTTGATAGACAGTTTTAAGAAACTCAGAAAGGCCTACAGACTACAACTACTTTTTTGGGGGTATGTTTTGGACTGGCAAAGAAAGATATGAAGGTACATCCCCTTTTTTTATTTTTACAACTGTGGTTAAAAATAACAAAAGTATAACAGTCACACACCAAAAAGACAACAATTCCACATGTTATTATAAATTGCAAGTAAACGCATCTGGGTCACAGCGCATGCGTGAAGATTACCCCAAAGTCCCGCCCCACTCAGAATGTTTATTTCTCTTCTCATCAGCTACTTACTTTCTCTTTTAAACAGTCAACCGTTCGCTTCACTGAATCAACTGAAACACCGAAACTTCACAGAATTCCACGTTTCATTCCATCGTTCCATCCTACGGTTCCATTCCAAGATTCCATTCCATACGTGACAACAACGTGAGTGTTGTAGGCGCTGCGTCAACAAGTGGCGGGTTAGGAAGGATTATTAACGTGTTTACCTTACGCACTCAGAGCTGGGCGGTCAGCAACAAGTCCATAATATATAAAGAGGAAACTGTGTTTTTTTAGATTCAGTGTTCTGCTCGTATTCCTCGCTTTTTTGCTGATTTAGCTTGAGAAATTCAGCTCGCACACAGCCGTGATGTTTTCAAGTGACAGGACAGGAAATCCTGCATGTTAAGCCCCGCCCCCACCGTACGTAAGGTTACGTGGAGATGTTTCACCTTTACTGATTTGAATAAGTGGTAACAAATAAAAAAAATACTTGTATTTCACTCGAGTACTTTTAATTGATGCCACTTTATAGGCAATTTCTACGTTTCAGAGAAGTCAGTCTCCAGATATAGTGTTGGAAGGAAGGGGGAGGCAGTGGGGTTTGAATGTACTGCCATGCTCGGGATTTGAACCCAAATTGATAAAACATTCATACTTGATGGTATGAATGCATTTGCATAAAATAGGTTTACAATTGCATAATGCTTAATCTGGACGAGTATATATATCTTTCCCATTATTTTGGGGTTAAGATATGAGTTTGGCCAGAGAGACTTTACTGGAGAAACTGTCTACCAGTCTCAGGATTCGTACCCACAACCCCACTGGTTGTTGGCTGTCAGCTCTGACCACTGATCTATAAGACAGCTTCTATTTTACCAGTACTTTTTTTTAAATGTATTGTGCCACTTAGGAATATAACAGTGCTAATATTGTATTATCGCTACAGACTCTGAATGCATGGCTGTTCCGTGTAATGGAGTACTTCTTTACTGTAGTATTGCAATTTTAGGGTAATGATTTGAATACATCCATCACTGAAAGCAATCATGTAAATGAACACATTTTATTAACCTTGAAGTCTAACCGAGGTCAATTCTTTGCATTTGAAAATAAAATACCATAAGCATGTACTCTAAAGTTTAATAGTATATTGATTTTGTTATTTCTTTGAGTCCTGTGATAATTTGCATTTTCAATCCTGCAAAACTTTAATGACAACCAGGAAGTAGAAGTGCATTTCTTTGGCACAAGACAATACTTTGCATTAACTGTGCTGAATACCTTGATAAAAACACAGCTAAACTGCAGTCATATTTACAGTGGACTCTAGCTCAAGTGGTGCCAACAACGCACTTATCCCAATGTAATAATGATTGAAGCGATCATCAAATAACCACTTAATTAGAACATGCCACAGATACGGCTGCTGTCATTTTCAAAGAACAGACGCTCAAAATACAACACAAGTCATTTAAATCAGACATGACAAACGTGTAGTTCTTTTTATACAGTTTATTTTTCCAAAAACACACTGACAGGAACATTATGCCATCAGCACACAGGCTCCTCCAGCTGCCTTGATCTTCTCCTCGGCCCGTCGGCTGAAGAACTTTGCCTTCACGATGACGGGCTGTTTGGGCAGCTTGCCCTTACCCAGGACTTTGTAGTAGCCCTGTAAAAAATAAATATAGACATTAATACAACTAGATAATCACATGAGCACAAAGGCTATTTTATCTGGCAAAATTATGAACCATTTCCTCATCAGAAAAACAGCACACAGGGCATTAGTCGTTTTAAAATTGTGCAAGTTTATAACTGGCTAATGTGCCATTTCATTTGTCTTTTACGACCGCTGTATTCGTCTGCCTGTATCGTTTTGTGTTCATTTGTTGTAACATTGTTCATGCTGCCCTCTTGGCCATGTCGCTCTTGAAAAAGAGATTTTAATGTCAATGAGACTTTTACCTGGTTAAATAAAGGATATATATTATGGCGACAAATGTAAGATGTAGTGTGTAATGGTTTGTAACTGCCCATGTGGGTGACTGGCCTACAAAGAGCCAGTCGGTGAATAGGACCAGTCTTCAATCTAAGAGAACTCTAGCACACCAAGACAATCACGAGTGTCAGGATGAGACTCTGAGTCTCTACAACAATAATATTATCAACGATCAATCCAGAGCGCAGTGCAGATCACCTTTACGAATGAGTAACAAATTGAATTGCAACAAAACAATGTTCTTAAACCATTCTCGCCTAGACTGAAACTTGGCCGTGTTTTTTTTGTGAAAACGTACACCAGTCAATGGAACATGAAATGAGTAAAATGTGCCAATTTGATTGAATATTGCCATAACATCACTAGATAAAAATGACATTGGAATGTACTCAGCTTGAGTTTTCGCTTACAAATAGGCTGTTGTGAAAATAAAATATACAAGACTTCCCGACATTAACTGGACTACCATCTATCACAACATACATGTAATGTCCTGCCGCAAAACATTTAAGTTGTGCTAATGAAAAAAAAAGACTTGAAGTTTGTTCAACAAATCTTTATCAAATACAAAGTTGAGCAATTCTTTTTCAGACATCTTAAGTTTAACACATTTTCTAATCGTTTGGTTTTTGTGGAGACAGCACTGGTTATTGTAGCCTAAAACACTACAGTATGGGCTGCAATATACCAACAATGATAATAGTTTGGTCATAAAAGTATCAATGAAAACGGTTTGTGCATGTAAGACTTAGTTTCTTTAGCAAATCTTTTCCTTTGTGTCAGGCATTGCTGTTTTCATCATGGCTTCATTTTGAACAAAGCTAATACAGGAGCCACATGTCAGATAACAGTGACATTGACCAAACTACAACACTGGCAAAGCTTTCTTATTGACTATGTCTTTATCCATCAAGCGTGTCATAAATACACCAATGACACTACTTCAACTGAAATGTAGTCAGTTACCAATGATCAGATCTAGCAACGGCACTGTGAAGTCTTCCTAGACACTGTGGCCAGTTGATTGAGAATTGGCTCCAATAAGTAAGCCATCTGCCACCAAATATGTTTTTCTACAGCTGTTGTAACAATTACATATATTAAAACTACACCTCAAGTTGTCTTTCACCTATGCCAATACTTAAAGAACCCAAATAGTACACCACAAAGGCCAGAGTCAGCTAAAACATCTGCTCTGGCACTATGCTCATGAAGAATGTGGGTCAGTACTTACAGCGCGCACAGCATCGATGATGGGAGCGGGTCCGTCGGGCTTCTTGCCGTAGTTGATCCTGGTCTGCTCGCTCACCAGAGTCCACAGCTTGTCCAAGTTGATGGTGGGGCAGTGGGTGGTGTTTCTCTTCAGATGGTAATGTCTCATACCGACCTTACCGAAGTACCCAGGATGGCTGAGGAGAAACACAGAGGGGAGAGAAAAGGTCAACTGCTGTGTAACCTAAATGGACATAAGCTAAACAACTTTTGTTTGGAGGCTTTTTAGAGGTGTAATGTTTGGAAAGTAATCTGTTATTTAAGGGAAGTGCTTTTCTTATCAATCTCTCCAGACTTGATTGTTAATAAAGCAAAGATACTAGGCATAATGGTGACAGAAATGTCATATTTAGTGTGTAACGTTTGTAACTGCCCATGTGGGTGACTGGCCTACAAAGAGCCAGTCGGTGAATAGGACCAGTCTTCACTTTAAGAGAACTCTAGCACACCAAGACAATTATGAGTGTCAGGGTGAGACTCTGAGTCTCTACAACAATAATACCAACGATCAATCCAGAGCACAGTGCAGATCACCTTTACAAATGAGTAACAAATTGAATAGCAAAAAAACAATGTTCTTAATCCATTCTCTCCTAGACTGAAACTCGGCAGTGCCCTCAATATTTGTAAACAAAATGTTTAGAGGGCAAATTCTTATTATATACTAGTCAGGGGAGCATGAAAATAGTAAAAATATGTGACAATTGTATTGAATATTGCCATAACGTCACTATATGACATTAGTGTGCACTCCGCTTTAATGCTCAGTATATTGCTTACACATGAGTTGTTGGGGTATATGTGTATACGTGATTATAATAGACATTTTTAAACTTAACACGAAAGTCACCCAACATTTTTTTTTGTTATAACTATGCTTAAAGTCTAACGTCTAGTTTCTAACCATAATGTTACTAATAAGAAAAACTCTCTGGATGTAAGATCGCAGTCTTTCACATTGTGTTTTTAGCACAACTCGTCTTGCCCATGTTACCATCTAGAAACCCTCCGAAAACTTTTATCCAACACAACCCTTCATGCAACATGTCTTGCAGAACTTACTATTTGTCGAAGTTGATCCTGTGGTGATGCATACCACCAGCATTACCACGACCTCCAGGATGCTTCCTATGTTTTCCTGTGGGGTTGGTATAAAAAAAAAACAAGTTGACCATGTGTCTCAAACAGTTATACATCTACGAAGACATCTTAAAAAAAACAAGTTGAAACTCACCGATACGACCATGTCCGTGGCTGACATGTCCACGGAGCTTCCGGGTCTTGGTCGCTTTGGTGGGCTGTAAATAAAGATTAAATATCGATTAGAATACATATAAAAGTTCAGTACAGATGTGGTCTTGGAGCTAGCTGCCATGCTACATTGGCCAAACAACAACCTACTTTACATGGATACATCAACAGGCCATTCACTTTGAAACTATAGCATCTTATAATAGTTACACAAATATTCGTATGCTGTTTTCTTTTTACTCCAACGTGGCATTACAAGCTGTAACTCAGTTTAAAAACTGTCTGCTTTCATGCTGTCTAGCATCTCGGGAAGCTAATGCTAATACAACAGCTTTAACCAGCATATTGTAACCGCTTGGCACGTTAAGAAAACAAATTGAAGTTAGCAACAACTCTCGAGCACTTTAACGTTTTTAAAAGCGACCTAGATAGTCACATTTATAAATAATGTAGAGGTTTGGTTAACGCGGTCAACACATGTGAGTTCAGACAGTGTGTGTGTTAGCTGACGGCTACATCCGAGGCCCCAGCTCTCACACAGTAAACCGCTCACAAATCCCCATAATGTTAACAAATCACGGGACAAATCATACAGTAAATGTTCGTAGTATATGTCTGTACAGTAGCCCGCCATTAGATGATAGTTTGCAGTACGAATGAACAAGGATGGGCATAGATTTAACTACATTTCAGAGCACAGGGATTCATGATAGCACCTACCATCTTGGAGGCTAGTTGAAAGAGGAACGTGATTTCTAAACCTCGCGCTTTTGTGCGAGATTTGGCTCCTTGCAACTGAGTGCAGAGAAACCCACAGCGACGCCAAAGGGTGTGATGAAGGAACACATTAACTCAAAATAGACAAATAAAAATGTATCTTA